CGCCGTAGAGTCTGACAAAATTGTACATGTTGCCGACGCGACCCGATCCGCCATCGTTGAGAAAGTCATCGTTGCAGCTGTATCGGCGGAGCGTCGGCGCAGCCTGATGGCTCATTGGCCCGTCAGAGGTCTACCGCCTGTTGAATGCCGACATACATCGCATGCTATCTAGAAGTGTAAATATGCATCAGACCGCGGCTGCTCGCGAATTTCTTCCCAATGGAGATGATTACCGCCATGATTGCACCAGAAGCTCCACTTTCAGCCTGCTCTCAATAATGTCCAATCGGCGGTCAATCTCATCGCTCAATCTCTGTGCCTCTGCATGACACGAGAGTCCTAACTTGATTCTCATAAGATCACGGAGGCTCCGTATGCTGTCACTGTCCAGCTCGCCCCATATTGCATCGTTGAGCCTGAGTCGATCCCTGAAGCAGCGTGCTGCATCCTCCAAGTTACCCAGGACCAATTCAGTCTGGCCCATGAGCATGTATGCTCGGAGTAGGTCGTACTTGCCTATTGAAGGACAATCAATGACCTCGTGCAGAATACATTTTACAGCGTCAAGATTTTGTCGATCGTATAAAATCCAGGCCAAGTCGATTTGCAGTGTCATTCTGCATGCGCTGCCTTTGGTCGAGTCTCCTTCTTCATCAAGCCTCCTGATGAGCTGCCGCACCAGTGCTTCTTCACTATCGTTGTCATTTCTCGCTAGTCGCTCCATATTGCTCCACTGAGAGTATGAGTTGATTACAGTAATGTTACAAAATCCGAGGTAACGCTCCATACTCTCAGCAACGAACCTGGCTATTAGGCTCAGCTGGATGGGATCGTCTGCTAGAAGATGACCATCCACCACGTGTTGCGAGATGCGAGATAGAGGGTGTAAGACGCCGTACTTTATAATTGAAAGTTCTCTAAGGTACGCCCAGAGCATAATGGATATCTCCGGGGAGTCTCGAAGTCTCCCCCGAGTCAGCCGAAGCAGACAAACAACAATGTTCGAGTTCTGCTCAACGAGAGCATCTTTCAGGGAGTGAAACCCGAGATTAAGCCATCGGAATGCTTTTTGTGGCTGATTACTGCTACGCAGTGACCTAGCACCCTCAGAGAAGAACCGGTAGGCTGAGCATATAGCTTTGTTATCAGCAACGTGCCCGAGAGAGTTCGGCTTCCAGGTACCGCTTTCGATATTGCCAGCAATCCAAGAGCGGAGCGCATGAAAGGTATATTCGATGGTCTGTAGATGGGTTGGAGCTTGAATGCTCGGTAGCGGTGCCATAATTTCAAAGGCCATAGGTAGTCCATTTGTAAATGAATGAGTGTCATCGTGAGTTGTATCATTCTGAAGAAGGTGAGCCAACCCCTTTCTCTGGAGATGGCGTTCAACCCTCTTGTAATCCAGCTTGGTGCCGCTCATAGTGAACTCAGATCGTCTCCCGATCTGATCCATTTGAGCCTTTAGCTGAGCTAAAAGCCGCGCATCACTTCCGTGGAGGTTCTTTCTGAGCCCCCATTTCTTGATCCGGTCCTTATACATACGGCGTCTGGTACATCAACGGTTAACTCTGGGTATGACCTCATTATGTGAAAGACTGCCTACGAAGCCTGCAACGCATGTTTGTGGCGTATGAAGAGGGCCACTTCAGCGAGCGATCTGTTCTCAGCTATGTATAAATGAGTAATCTCGGCACGACAAGCCGTCCAGTCGCTTGCTGTCATCCATCGAACCGGCACCTTCGAGTGGTCGGCGGGGATGAAGTCACCATGCGTGACTTCTTGTTTAGTTTGACTTGCTGACATCGTTTCATTTGTTGGAACACCTTGCTACGGTCGTTATGCACGATAGGGTTCCAAGTTCGCAAATGGAGACAAAGCCGAACTTGGAGCTCGACTCCAAAGCTTCACACGAAGCATTTTATGATGACTCCGAAGCATAATTGAAGCTGGTGATCACGTTGCAAGGCAGATTCTATTTGACTAATGGTTGCAAGCAATGATGCAAGTTGGCCAAGAGGTGGCGTTGTACTTCTGCTGCTGGCCAGTCGTTTGACCACGCCGAGACTCAAGCTGCGGGAGGGGCCGCTGGCGAAGCAAGACGCTGCAGTAAGTATCGCATGACAGTTGTTGAACGAGTTGCTGCCTGGTGCTTGACGCATTTGCGTGGTTCAGTGATTGCGCAGCGGTCTTCCCTTTATGCATCCATTTTTGAGTCCCGTAAACACAGCACAGAGCAACCGTGATGTTATTTCAAGGCATCCTGGGCTGTAATGTACAGTAATATCCAGGTTCACCGTCCACTTCTGATGTAGACATAATATCTGATTTGGGTTAGTGCAGGGCCTAGAGACAGTGTGTGAGTCAGCCATGGAAGTACCGGTGTTGTCGATCCCTTAACAGTGGCTGCTTCTGGCTGGCCTCGTCTCCAATGTTGAGCAATAACGAGACGATCGTTGTGTATCCGTAAACGCACGGCCAAAATATCGGTGATTGTCCTACTTAGGATATGCTATCGAAAATCAATCATCGCCATCTCCAAAAGAAGTTCTACCACTTTCTTGTGACCTCCATCTGCAGCTATCCACAGAGAACGCTTGACCCGGATATTCGGCGTGTCCGGGCAAATGCCTTTGCGCAGGTAACTTCTCAATAGCTGCGCATCACCTACTCTGGCGGCATCGTAAATTTCTGCGAGAGAGATCATCTCACCAGAGATAGGATAGTCCAAATTATCTTGCAAAAAGTCAAGCAGGACTCTTAAAGCCCTTACAGCTCCCTCTTCTTGCTGCTCCTTGTTGAAATGTTTCTCCTCGTTTGTTCCTAAACACTAGTCCAACGAGAAGTCCCCTACGCCGCTCAAGAAGTTCATGAATATCGAATATACATGCTGCAGATATTTACATCCACGAGCAGAGCAGCAGGCCTCTAATTCCCATCTTAGGTCGTAGGTTATGTCTCACGGAAGATCGTCGAGGTATGAATTCCACATAGAGATTGCCGATCCGGCGGTCACTTCATGTCGCATAGTTGCGAATGCTCCAAGATGAGAAACGAGACCCAAAAGCAGCAATATGGGGTGGCTCATGATCTGACCTTGGAGAGGGGCTTTGATCTAATGTAGTAGCAGGTAAGCTTTGAACACACACTTTCAAGACACGCAAGGAGTTTGGCGGATAGAGTATTATAAATTAGTCTATAAGGAGGAAGATGGCAGGATGCTCGCCTGCAACTTTAAGCATGATATGTACAGAAAGTCGGCACAAAGGGAAAAGGTCGTGAAACAATTATACAAGAGGGTATCCTAAAACAGCGTGACTGTTGTCACACGGACATTCTACCTCGTCGTAGGTAAAGCTGATTGCTGAACCACGGTTGCCTTCCGTGTATGAGTCCGGTCCCCAATACGGCTCAGCGACTCGATCGTCAAAGTCCCATGAGAAGTAGTTGATGTACGTCGGTGGCAACACCCACATCTCAGTCCAACCGCCTTGGTTGCAGTTCAGGGCTTTCGTTGACGGGTCCTTTGTGCAAGTCATCAATGGAAGATTAGCGCGGTCGATGTACCAGTCCCAGTTCATCGAAACCCAGGCACCGGCAGATGGATAACCTGACAACGCCATAGTATTGGGGGTTGTGAGCGCTTCAAGTGTTCCGTTGCAGCTGAGATACCAGATGTAGCCGCCATAATTTGGTGAAAAGCTTGGGCCGGTGTACATAGAAGCGTATCTGAGAAGCTGGCCGTCGATGTGCTGGGGGCCGTGACCCGTGATCGTGATACAGCTCGACACCTCAGTTTGTAGAGGACAGCTGTAAGTCGTGGATGTCCTGGTTCCAGCCGTTGTTGTCGTAGTAAATCCTTGAAAAGCGTAGGTGGTGAACACCTGAGTGACAGTCGAAAGAGGCCCCTGTGCGTTGGCTGTGACAGTCCGCGTAGCTGTGACAGCTCCAGATGTGGCAGTGGCAGTGACAGTGCTGGTCACTGTCGTTGATCCAGTGGCAATTTGCGAACAGGCATATGAAATCTTGGATGCCGGCCAGTCAGAGACGAGTGCCGGAGTAGCAGCTCGTCTAACGACACCATCATACTTGGCCAGTGTGGGGGCAGTAGCATTGAGACTTCTAACAGGTTCAGCAACGAACATGCCCTGCTCCTCCTGCCATTTGTTCACTTCAGGAGCAGAGGTCTGTGCGGCTATTGCGTTTCGCTTCACCAGATCCGCGCGCAAAGAGGCGCTATTGGTGGCAGAAATCCAGACAGTGCTGGAGGCCGCGGTGGCTGTGTACCAAAATTCAATCGTAGAGGTTGGATAGATTGTGATAATAGGAGTGCTTGTGATTGTGACAGTGTGATCCACAGTTCCGACAGTGGATGGCACCGTCGTGGTGGAAGTCGAGAAATACAAAGCTGTTGATGCTTTGTAGTTGATATACGATGTGCAGAAAGCCTGGCCCACCGAAGAGAGAGAGGCGATGTCAGACGGTGCCGGCTGATTACTTGGAACGTCGTAGCACTTCTCCGAGTTAAATTGTTGGTTAGTGTACAGCGACTTTGAAATCCCCATTCCGTTGGATATGGTGTTCTTCGTGCTAACATATGAGGTGACGGCCAAATTATTTGCCGGACAGCTGCCTTGTGCCTCAAAGGCATACTGGGAATCCATACCAACGATTGTTTGCGATGCGATGTACGGAGATAGCGCAACCTGGCCGTAGATAGAAACCTCTAGATTTACACCCCACCTCATGTATGGTTGCAATTCAATGCTTGAGCCAGTGGTGAACGCGGGGTTGGTAAAGCTGATTGAAGGGTTCCAGTTCGTTTGTTTGGTCACGTCTCCAGTCAGTAGATTCATGGAGGCAACGGCATTGTTGAGCGTGAACTGGGCACCTCCGGAGGTGTCCACTGCGGAGTCAGTCTGGTAATTAATACCAATGCCATACAAAACAGTGGGTCTAATTTTGTCAGCTTGGTAACAAGTGGACTGAAGGTGTTCAGAAACTTACACAATGTTGAAGGCACTATCAATGGAAATTGAGCCCAAGTTGGTTGTTGAGTACGTGTAGCTCCAATTTCCGTTCCAGGCCCCATCGGACTTGAGACCAGCGACCATATTAGCAACACCACTAATACCAGTTGTGATATCTGCTTGCTTGATGATACCGGACGTCATGTTGATGACAATCTCTCCGGAAAATTCCAAATTCGAGATCGAGAAGCCACAATTCACACACGAAACTCGTTTGCCAGCACCACCGTAGACAACATCCTGTTGGATTGGGCCAAACCCAACGTTCCACGAGTAGTCAAAGGTGTAGTCCATTGCAGGAGGTGGAGTGTAGTACGTGATGATCGTAGTCGTTGTGTAGCAACCGCCCTTCAGGATGCATCCCAAAGCCCCCGCGTTTTCAACGGCATTATTGACCGCGCAAGCGTCTCCAAGAGCATCGGTAACAATCCCAACCAAGTCATCAATAGTGTCATCACAGGCATATTCAGTGATATCATCCCATGACAGACGCTTTGAGAGATTCTTGGAGTTCGACCGTCGAGACACCGCGGAAGCGCCCGATGTCTTGGTAGGCGCATAACAGACACCCTTCGCACCATTAGACGCTTGGCTGGCGAGAGACTCAGGAGAGTCCAAGCCCATAGCTTCCAACAAGTCCTCCAGCGCAGCTTGCTCCGTTGTGTTGGTTGGATCGTAAGGGCTAACGTCAACAGTGACGTTCTGCGTGTTTGAAGGGTGCCCAATGATATTCCCGTCGTCGTTGTATTGCACTGCAGCCGCAAGCAGATCGTAAAACTTTTGAGCCCCTGCATCTAAAACAGTGGCCGACCCACTGGAGGATGTGGTAGTTGCTGTGGGTGCCGCCGTGAGTGTTCCCGTCTCAGCGCAGGTGGAAGTGTACTGAGGGTCGTCCACAGCGATATCATCAGCATCATAGGTGATGGTGCCATATTTGATAGTGACGTCAGAAGCCACATCCGTAAAGTTCTTCTGCGCCACACCAAAAACTATGGCGAGTGATCCAGAGGTTGCAATGGCGCTGGTCGTCAGGTAAATTCCGCGGGACTTCTCAGTATTGCACGCTTCTGTGTTAGTAAAGAACACAAGGCCGGATGAGGGCCAGTGGTTCATGATATAGTCTAAAGTCGTCTGGCTGTTGGCGGTGACTGTCAAGCTTGTGTTTGAGCAAGTGGTCCCGAGTAGCGCCGAGTTCTCCAGGCTGACTTGAGGGTACAGCATGTTCAAGTACAGCGAAACTGCATTGGTTCCAGGATACTTCTCTGCGTAATTCAGGGTCGCATTAATGGCCGGATCTAGGATACTGAGAGCGGTGGCGACCACGTCCTCGTTTCGCACTGGGTACAAGTCAATGCCCCCGGCGGCGCAAGCTGTTGGCGCTGGTGATTCAACTGCCATGGCAGCCCACACATTCTGCGCAACTACAGGCGTTGCTGTGGAGCTCTTCAAGTAGCATGAGGGGGCGACATAAGAGACATCAATGCAGCCGAGGGTCTTGTCGCAGCTGTTCAAGCACTCTTCAAAAGTATCTGTTTTGATAGCCGATATGTCGCCTCCTGGGAAGTCCATGTTGCAGAGAATCTCGTAGTAATTGCCGCCTTCCGTTGAAAATACACTGCCATTGGTTTTGGCATGGAAGCATGAGAGTTCAAGAGTAGTGCTGGTTGAGTTCTGCACTCGAGTAGCTGACCAGGCGTTAGGAGATACCACAAGCGTAGAAACGGTTTGCTTCATATAGCAGGTAGTTCCAACGTATGATACGTCGACGCAGTTTGTTGTCGCATCACATTGGCTCATGCAACCCTCAAAACTTGCAGCATATGCGGCATACAGGTCGCCTCCATAATGCTCATAACCGCAGTTAATCTCGTAAATGCTTCCCGTAGACATTGTGAAGTTAGTCCCATCGCTGGCACCCTTGACGCAAGAAGGAGGAGTCTGCGTTGGCGCAGCAGATACCGAAGTTGATATCGTCGAAGTAGCTGTGAATAGGCTGCTTGAAGTCGATCCAGTCACCGTTACAGTTCCGGAGTTCGCAAAAGACGTCACACTACTGACAGAAGAAGTTGATCCTGAAGTAGCAAGGCTTCCGCTGCTGGAAAGGCTGGCCAAAATTGAAATTGAGGAGCCTTGACTCGAAGTTTGAGTAGCGCTGCCTGATAGTATATCCGAACTGGGACTTAAAGAGAAAATCTCTGATCCAGAAAGGCTCGTCAACGACGAAGACTGCTCTGAAGAGGCACTGCTACTCGTAGTCAAAATAATAGAGCTAGCCAAAACACTGGAGGAGCTCGATTGCTCTGACGAGCTGGCCACAAAAGTAGAGCTCGGAAGGTTGGTAGAAGGAGACGACTGTGTAGATGAGCTAACCAAGATCGATGAGCTGGGAAGCTCAGTTGAAGAGCTCAGTATGGTCAACATTGGGATTGATTCAGTTGACAAGATGCTCGTAACAGCAGACGAGGTCGACTCGACAAACGAAGAGCTGAGAAGGCTTGAAGGTACGCTAGGCGTTAAAGTCGAAGAACCCAGTGCAAAAGATGAGGAGCTAGGCTGGATGGGGACAGAGCTCGAGAGCATAGAGGGGGAGATAGTAGTGCTGAAGCTTTTTTGGACCTGGGAAGAAGAGATCGAAGATGAAATGACTTTCTTAACTCTTTTACCAGTCCAGACATTCCCAGCTGCGGACAACTTTGTTAGAGAGCTTTTCAGGTAACAGCTAGGCTGGACGTAAGAGACATCAATGCATCCAGGTGTATTGTCGCAGACTTCGAGACATGCGACGAACGTGTTCTGGTTCGACGCAGCCATATCACCTCCAGCATAGTCGACATTGCACAGAATCTCGTATGAGTTGCCGCTAGTGGTATCATAGAGAGTTCCATTTGAATGGTTGTTGTCGCAGGTCAGGTAAGTATCGGTCTCATAGATACGGTTCCGAGCGGTCCAAATATCGCCATTGGTAGTGAGTGTCCCCAAGTTGCTTTTCATGTAACAAAGAGCGCGGCTGGGGACATAAGAAACGTCGATGCACCGTGCAGTAGAATCGCACAAGTCGATACAGTCTTCGAAGGAAGCTGTTGTTTGGGTTTTGAGGTCGCCACCGGCGTAATCACTACCGCATATGATGTCGTACGAAGCGTCGCTAGTTTCATAGACAATGCCATTGTTTTTGTTATTGGAACAGTCGAGTGCAGCAGCGGCAAAAGACACTAGGATGGCTGCAGTAGCCATTCGGCTGAGGGAAGGCGACATCATGCGCATACAACGACTTTTCAGGGAAAAACAATCAACGAAAGCCGTTAAGTGACAACAGAAGCGCCACGAAATAAGGATGGCTAAAGATAGCTACTTCTGAAGAGCCTCGCAGCCGCCAGATTATTGCAGAACACCCAAACGCTACTTATTGTGATTGTAGCGGCTGCAGCGCCACATGATGACCTTATAGTCTTCTCCTTTGTCCATAGCGACGCATCCTCGCTTAGACATCGCGCCATCCTGAGCTCGGAGCTGCCGCTGGTGCTGAGCTGGTGTGAATCTGGTACTAACCACCCTGACTGTGATATTGACTTTTCAACAGAAAGACGAGGTGCTAGACCCTGAAGAATTGTCAAGACCCCCATACCCACGACTCTTTGGGGCGCAAGCGCCACTTTCATGAGCTATAAAGGACCGTTGGGTGGTGCGGTAGATGTAATTAGGCGTGAGGAAGAGAACCCAGATGGGAATTCTTGTCGCACAAGTGCCATCACAGAAAATCCCCCCCTGCATTAAGAGTGTTCGAAGCCTCGATAGTGTCTCTTCTCTCATCGTCCTACTACTCAAGAACGCCTCAATTAATGGGTCTGTCAGGTCTGGCCAGTGGCTGTCCCTAGTGGACCTAGCTCGACCTACAATCCTACCCCAATCTGGAACTAGTCCCGCCATGCTATTCACACAAGCGCCATGGCGGCGCCTCACCCGAAGCCGAACTATTGGAAGCACTCAGGCCATTCCAGATTGCTGGCTGGCCATAATTTGGCACAGAAGAGGCTTTTTTTGCTTTTCTTTCCACGTGCGATAGCGGTGCTAGACCTTCGGCCACGGGTGTAGAATTAGTTCTACGCCGTAGCTACCGGTGCCGCCTGACGCCGGCTTACACTAGATCAAAATGGCAATTTCCACATGGCAGTGGTCATGACGAGCTGAATAACCAGCCTTGGACTTGTGTGCTTTGGTCCGGCGTCTCCTTTCAGAAAAGTTAGCAAGGACAATGGACAGCGTTCGTGGTATGCATCACCCAGTCTCTTGTTGAATGTCAAGACACGCAGGAAACTGCCTGACACCGCCGCCGAGGCACAAAACGGTGTGAAGCCCGCAAAGCATTAGCTTACGAATAGTTTGGCCTATTAGCATCGCACAAATTTTGCCGGTCTACTGGCGTAGCGAGAGCTCTTGTCAGTCATTTCTCGAGTGTCAAACACTACCTGATTATGGCTTCAGGTCGGTGTTTGCTATGGGTTGGATATCATAAGGCCGAATGGATGCTTTTCCTGAAAAATAAAGCTCGTAAATACTCTACAGTATTTTGCCCTACTCTCACTGACATGCTTGTCTCATTTCGACGCGGAACTGCATGAAACTCGACTTGGCAGTGACACAAGTGTCTGATTCGTCAGGATCACATTACAACATAATTAAACCAACCTGCATCTAGAGATCATACCGAAGAGTCGGAGGCAAAAGCCAAGTAGATCTGAGTTCACTTATCAGAGTAAGCGCCCGTGGCCCAAGACCACTGCTGGCAGGAGAAGAGTCGATAACGTGGGCCAATGCACTACATCATTCGGTCTCCAAAGAGTTAAAGACAAACAACACCCAAATACTGTACAATGATGATTCCATTCTCATGTCGATTCTCCGTGGCGATGGATCTGAACGCCGTGGAGTACGGATCCTTCTCATTGGCTGAATTGCAGTCTCAAAGGCGCTGACAAAGCTCCCCTCGGCTCGGATTTTAGACACTGCAATTGTCCGTCAGGTAACATTCAGGCCATCAATACCCGCTAAGCCAATCACAACACAGCACCCTTCTTAAGTAGAAAGCCCTCCACATCGTCATGTTCCATCTCGTCGGTATCCTCATCGAGCCACACAATCCAGTAGTATCTGAGTAGATATGCAATATCTTATCTAGAGGAGTTGCCGCCGTGGTGTTCCATGGCGATGGATAGATATAAATCCAAACAGTCTTCACAACTGTTGTCAGGTTGGAGAGCCCTGGAAGAAGACGTAAATATCGTCAGATCGATACAAAAGAGAAGTACAGACTCAAAATATGGCCTCTAAGTACGATAAGAACACCACTGGATCACAACTAGTCAACGACCTTCGCACTAGTATTACAGGGAAGGTTGTCCTAGTGACAGGTACATCACCAGGCGGCATCGGCGCCTTCTATTGCACCGCAGTTGCAAATGCCAAGCCTTCTATACTAATCCTCGCCGGCCGAGTCTTGAAGACGATACAAGAGACAGCAGACCAGATCAAGGCAGAGAATCCCAATGTAGCCATCAAGACGCTCGTTATTGACCTCGCTTCGCTAGAGAGCGTCCGCAAAGCAGCTGCAGAGGTCAACGGCTGGGTAGACGTCCCATACATTGACGTACTCGTCAACAATGCCGGCATCATGGCTGTGCCCTACACGAAGACAGTGGATGGTTTTGAGAGACAGTTCGCAACTAATCATTTGGGCCCATTCTTGTTTACCAACCTGATACTGAGCAAGGTGCTTGCATCTGCCCACAAGCGGGTTGTCATGGTCAGCAGCGGTGGACACCGATACAATAGCGTCCGTTTTGGAGATTATGGCTTCGCTGTGAGATCCCCTGTCCTAGTTCATGCTCGATCTACCACTTACCGGGAGGCCTCAGGAGGGCAAGAATTACAATAAGTGGTGGGCATATGGACAAGCAAAGACAGCGGTTTGCCTGACAGCTATCTACCTGGCAAAGAAGCTGGGCGGACGAGGTCTGCAGGTGTACAGTCTACATCCAGGTGTGACATCGACTAACTTAGTCCGCGAATGGAACCCGGAAGAAGACATGCCAGGCATGAGTGAGTCAAATTTTTCGAAGTGAAGTGACACGACACAGCCCTGCTAACGAGTGTTCGCTCTTCTAAAGTTGCTGCCGAGATTCAATGTGGGTCGAGGTTTGTAGAGAAGGAGAAACTGACCTGGTGCACCCCGGAGACAATCATTGCTAATCATATTCTGGCGTCGTTCTCTGATGACTTCAAGGGTAAGAACTTCACAGTACCCATGATGAACGGAAAGCAGCAAACTGACTTGGATCCCTGCAGATCATAATGGCGCGTATCTCTATGAGGGCCATGTGGCGAATCAGTACGAGGACGAAGTCATGCCGTGGGCGACCAACGAGATTGAAGCGGATAAGACCTGGAAGCTGAGCGAGAAGCTCGTGGGTCAGGAGTTTGCGTATTGATCCAGACTGCAGCCAGACTTCCCTATCTGTCATGAGTATTAGAGACATGTAGTCTTTCTACGGAGAAATAAAGACCCGTACGGCATTGTATATATATTTTGCCTTCAAAGTGACTGGATATATTTACTAGCAGTGAATTAGTAGCTCTTAATTCTTTGTGGAGACTATAAAGGACCTGGACTGAGATAGAATGTAACCTGATATACTAGAAATAGTGTTCTGACACTTTCTCGTGTTCCAGCATCTGTATATTGTGCTTCTAGGGAAAGAAAGCTAGTTCTCAAACGCCAAGGTCAACTCTGTATTGCGAATCTTATCGTAGCTTGGCCCTTAACCAGATTCCCATGAAGCGTGCTACTCGTGTAATCCTCCTCCTTGGCTTAACCGTCTTCTGATCACCTCCCCCTTCAAATACCTCAAACTGACCTTCCCGTCTCCGCCATTTTATTGAAACTGCTCCTTTCTCTTTCAATAACTTGATGAGTTCTGCCTTTTGCATCTTTGTTTCGCTAGAGCTGTCCAAATGGGAAAGTTGTTCTATCGTATTAAGAGCCGTGTATCGATGTTTTGTCCAGGACCGTTTCGAAAGTCGAATGCCTCTTTCTATGTAAGCATTAGGATCGGCACCATGCTGGAGGAGAAGCTTCAGCAGTGCCATCCATTTTGTCATGTCGCCCAGCGGCGTATAAAGAGCATTTTGCCAGGGACTAAAGCCGTTAAACTTCTCGTTCGGATCTGCCCCTTTAAGAAGAAGCGCCTCTACAATGGCGGGATTTGTACCCCTAAGCCAAACTGGGTATGCAGGCTCCGGCCTGCATGCATAATCGAGCAACGGTCGTCCTGGCTTTGAAAGAATTTTCGAGTCTCCATTTTTGAGCTTCGATAAAACGTAAAGCTTTAATCCAAACCGGATCGTAAATGCGAGAAAGTTATCATGCCATAGTTCTGGACGATGGTAGTCCTCCTCAATAGTATCGCACCAACTAGAAGGTTGACCTGCCACCATAATGCTCATATGTAAGGGTGGTGATGATTCGAAATGATAAGACATTGCCCTATCCATCTCGTCAAGCACCGTTTCTTGTGTAGATCCAATATCACGTTCAAGTAGCCATGATAGTTCCATAGCCATGCCAACTCGACTCCAGGCATTTCCACTGTGATATACTTTCTTCAACTGCATTACGATCGAGTGGAGCAGAGCACTATGGCAATTAAATTCGGTTCCGGATGTTCCCTCTAAAATCCTGTCCCATACCTCTTTCCGCTCCAGGAACTCGGCGACGGATCTGTGGATGTACCTAACGGCTGGGATGTTGATGCTGTCAATATGGCTTCCCGTCTCGGATTGAGTAGCTTCGCTTATGTTAATGCTGTCATTGGGGCGACGAGTCTCGGATATAGTGGCTTCGCTTGCTCGCAACTCGATTAAACCTGCGCAATGGCTCTTTATACGAGTATCCATAAGTTCTACCAGGTGTGTCACCTTTTCCACGGCGAGGTGTTGAAGATTAGCTTCTAATACCTCTTTCGACTCGAGTAACGCAAAATAGATACTTAAAGCTGTTAGAGGGGCCGATGCCCCCAATAACATTGTATTAGAATTGCGAGAGTCGAGCGCGCTGCTAGCTCGAACGACCTGAAATATCTTGGAGGAAGAAGCCCGGTACCTCTGAGGTATCTTTCTGAGCATATGCTCGAAAAGAGCCTCAAGATCCGTTGGTAATTCGCGGAGTCTGTGCTCGAGGATTGGGATAGTATCAAAGTTCTGCAAGCCTTGGAGGAGCGACTCAACTACGAGTTTGACCCAAAGGAAAACGCCATCTGCTGCGGTGACAATCTCAGAGACTAGGGCCGTAGCTTCTTGTGGGCTTTCTATTATCAAAGCCTTCATCTGAGGATTCCCGTGGACTCTGTCGTTGACATAATCTGTAATGTCTCTTCTGGTGAGGTCATGCAAACGTAGCTTTAGGCAGCTTGTGAAAGCATTCTCAAACTCGATCAAAGGTCGACTTGATACTATGGCTTTGACCGTTCCAGTCTGAGTTGCGGAAATGAATAGTTCCGCAAGGTCCCCCATAGTCGTTTTACCGGCTTCAAACTCGTCAAGTCCGTCGATAATCAGTGCAACCTTGAGAGGAACACTCGACTGGGTGGTCAGGGTATGAAAAGCGCGCTTGAGTTGATGGAAAGTTGGGAACTCGCTCCATTTTGCGAATGGCTCGAAGCGATCCGGAAATAAACTTTTGGCGAGGCTATGTTCCGCTGTGATTGCTTGCAGAAGAATAGAACGGAAGAGCCCTTCCAAAGACTTTTGCAAAAGTGTCCCAGCATTCCAGAAATAGAAGGAAATGACTATCAACCGGGAGCTTCCGGCCCATTGTGTAAGAGCCCTTGATGTCCGGGTATCCCCGCTTAAGAACTTCATAAGGGTTGACTTTCCGGAGCCGGCTTTGCCACTGATCCAGTACATTCCGTCACTCTTCTCTAGCCAGTCAGCGAAATCATCCCGGGCAACAGCTCCGGTTGGTGGTGCTTCATATATCCAGTTGAAGGTGGCCTTGTGGGCGGCTTCAATATCTTCGTAACGGTCGTCCTGTCTATCGAAGCTTAAACTCGCTTTGACTAGGTTAAGAGCCTCTTCCTCGGTGTGAATGCCACCAAATTTCTCGGGTTCTGGAGTGAATTGATCCAATCTCGACGACACAACTTGTAGCGCGGATAAGGTCTCTGCGTGTCTCCTCTCAGACGAAGCTTGGCCTAATGCATTCTGTTGATAGATCCTGCTGGTTTGATCCTCGACTATTGCCTGAATGTTCTTTGTGCCGCCCAATATGGCACTCACTAGAGTTTGAGTCTGGGCATCAAGGGCTGTAAATTCCGAGCTTGTCGTGATCGCCATCTGATCGACCTTCGATGCAATAGCGACGATGATGCTGAATTGCAGCTGGTCCCGCATCGACTTCAACTGTGAGATTGTCTTGGTGATTTCATCTTTTTTCCAGGCCGTCTTCAGGGCCAACTTGAACCTATTGATGAATTTATTGCGTCCTTTCAATGATACGCTGTCAAGATCTACAAGTAGCTTATCTGCGATTCGTTCGCACTCGTTCACGGTATTCTCCAAAGCCTGTCTCAGACAATCAGTCACAAAGAACTATTTCCATTATGCCCCGCCAGTTATCAAACCAGCTGTTAACACATTTTTTCTTACGCTGTAGTCTATTGATGCCGCGCTCGCCCGTGGCCATTGCTTCACAACGTCGTTGGAGACTTTTAGACTCTTCACAATTGTCTCGAGCTGGGAATTCTCCGCAGTCGATCCAGCTTCCGCAATCTGGTCTAGAAACGAGAGACATGTCACAGAGAAATCAATGACGGCGAATATATTCACCGCCAACCCTAGCGCTGATAATGGGTCCATACTGTATCTGAGGTGTCTTAGAATCGACCATGTTTGTTGACCTGATGGGCAAGTATGCGTGAAGGAAATTGCGGCTGAATGGAAAGGCGATACTAAACTCACGTGCTAGAATCAGGGGCTGAATTTTAGCTAATCAACATCAAAATTGAAACCTTCTCACGTGTCACTCCTATGATACTTCCATTTACATCCTTAGCATACAAGCCCAATTCTTCATCCGCCAACAGGTATGCTGGATAGGTAGCGGCGTACTCAGGTATTAAACGTTATGAGTAATAAATGTTAAATTCTTTCATAGTAAAGATACTCGATACTAAGAGTCGTAAAACTCATCAAACCTCTCGAATATTCTATTTGTTACCATGGATCTATCAACTTCTATGAAGGTATCTACAATGAGTAATCGCTTTTGAAGGAGGTAATGATACCCTTGCCGAACTAACAATTATTACCCTGACGGAGGAGTCGGTGCATCGAAAAAAAGGGACCTTAGCACGGTTTGGCTTATCTTACTGCGAGTCAGTGCAGTTTTCTCAAGTCTACAGCACACTCACCGCCTTACATTCTGCCAGCAAACCCCGCCAAAATTTTGGTGCCCGAAATGCAGCACCAAACGTAGTGCCTCAATCAAATCATGCAAACCCCGCAGAGTAGGAGATATTGTCTGTGATCAAACTGATTCAGAAAGTACTCCTCCACAAATCGAGCCATCAACATGGCGACCTCCCAGCCAGAGATGCCCTCAACTGAGATGCCGGCGGCGCCATCGCAAACCGAGTCGAATCCCTCCCCCGCGCCAGCCGAGCAGTCACCACCCGCGCCACAGTCCCAAGAAGCGACCAAGTCGAAATCCATCCACAGTCTAGTGATCGATACCGGCGCCCTCATCAAGAACGAGCCGTCTGTCTCGACGCTTCTCGCGCAGGCTGAAGAGCTGTACACCACACCTGAAGTCCTCGCCGAGGTCCGCGACGAGGCGACCAGGATACGGGTCCAGACGACCCTCGTGCCATTTCTGAAGCTACGCAGTCCGCGCCCGGAGAGCATCAAGTTCATCAGTGGTTTTGCGCGGCGGACGGGCGACCTAGAGGTACTAAGTAGACAGGATATACATCTCTTGGCGCTGACATACGAACTGGAGCTGGAGAGAAATCATGGCGATTGGCGGTTAAGGAAAGAGCCTGGTCAGCGAGGACTGAATGGAAAACCACCAGCCAAGGAGGAAGTGCAGCCTACCGAAGAAAGTGAGCCTCAAAATACCGTTGAGAAAGACGAGGTAGACCAGCCTCAACCGAATGTTATGGAGGAAGGAACGGACGTCGAGGCGGAGACCAAAGAGGAAGCGGTTGAGACTCAATTGGAGAATCTAAGTCTTGACATGACTGCGAATGAAGGAACAGGGGAGCAGCAAGCTCAAGAGGAAGAGACGAATGCCTCTGAAGACGACGATGAGGATGGCTGGATCACGCCATCTAACCTGAAGAAACACCAAGCCAAGGACAAAGAAACGGCTGGCCACAACCAGCCCATACAGAGAGTTCTCCAGGTCGCCATAATAACCTCGGATTATGCCATGCAAAACGTTGCCCTAAGGTGAGGATTAACCGACATTCTACTTTGCGAGGATTGCGAGCTAATAAGACTGTACAGGATTAACCTCAACCTGCTCGCTCCATCCAACATGTCTCGCATCACAATGCTCAAATCATGGGTTATGAGATGCCACGGATGCTTCACAGTCACAAAGCAGATGAACAAACAATTCTGCCCGTCATGTGGTCAGCCCACCTTGACAAGGACGAGCTGCTCCACGGACGCTGCCGGAAACTTTAAGCTTCACCTCAAGAAGAACTTCCAATGGAACAAGCGAGGCAACGTCTACAGCATACCGAAGCCCACACATGGCACAGCAAACGGCAGGCTAGCAGCAGGCCAAGGAGGTGGCAAGAATGGCTGGGGCCGGGATCTGATTCTGGCCGAGGACCAGAAGGAATACGTGAAGAAGGTTGACCAAGACCGCAGGACGAGGTACCGCGACCTGATGGACGAGGATTACTTACCCAATCTGCTCAGCGGTGAGAGAAGTGGTGGAAATAACAGAATCAAGGTTGGTGCCGGGAGAACTGTCAACTCGAAGAAGAGAAGGTAGAACCACCCAGCACGCTGACAACACATATCATGACGGGGGTTTTGGGGAATTTTTGGTGCATTCAAAAGTTTATAGACGCGATACCAATGCAAATGGCAGAGGCGCACGTATGCCCTCTATATGAATCTCGAACCAGTATTTTCCATGCAAAACGCCTTATGAAAGTCCGTAGCCACCAACTCCCTGAACAAACAATTCCTTGACATGGTCAATTCTTAAAAAGCCCATCATATCCCACACCACCTGAGCAAGATTACCACCACAAATGGTTGACTTCCTTTCCGGGCCATTCGACGCAGATACTGATCGTGATTGGAGACTAGCAACAGTTTGGGAGGTCTGTTGCTTGGCCGTGAGATTGTAATCCGAGATTTGTTTTCCTATCGCTTATTGTCCCTTGAACTCGGCGTCGCCTACACAAGTATCCATTAGCCAATGCTTTCATAGCGACGCGAGATTTTGAGTCACTCACCCTGACCAGGAAGCAGGCGGTTGAAGCGCTTCCTCAGTAGCACACGGTGCTTGGACCACTTGTCGTCGGGGGAGAAGCGAGCCGGGTGGGCAGACTTGGTGACCTTGCCCTCGAGGATCTTCTTGAGGGTGTAGGCACGCTTGCCCGAGGCGTCGACGTTGCACATCAGATGCATGATGACCGCGATGAAAGTCTCTCAATCTCGGAGTAGTTGTAAGGTGAGTGCGACAAGCTGCACTGAGGCCGTATAGTCGAAGGTGGTTATATGTGATGCGTTGGGCTTTTGGGAGCTTGAAGCTTTTCACGATGCCAAAAATTTTGGTAAAACAGAGCCTGGAGAAGTGGGGTCGTGCAGGGGTCAATTGAGCCAATCAGACTCGACCCACCTTTCCAGTACCATGGAGAGTAAGGAGGCTTTAAGAGTTAAAATTCTGCTTTGTTGAATTGATTGTAGAATTAATTCTAATGAAAAAAAACATCACTCAATTCATAAATGGGACTATGAAAAGATGGGCAGCGTATTTCCGGCTGTGGTCGATGCTTTTCGCATTGTCCCAGCCAGCTATTCAGGTAGGCGACCATCGCCGCAATAGGTGGCCTGGAGCACTTGGAGGCCTGTTCTTACCGCGCGGAGGTTTTTAGACAGTTACTGGTTACTACCTATCAGCCATAAACATAAACACACTTACTCAACGGTCGAGGTAAAATAACTGGCAGTGACTGGCAGTAAACGTTGACGGGGACGATTATTAACTGCTGCATTTATCAAGTCTCCTGAGTTTTCCTGAGGCCATCTCGGTCTAAGTCGCATGTGACGCAATCTCGTAGGGCCTTGTGTCAACTTCGGAATGCCAATGCCATGATGCGCAAACAATGATAGGCCGGTGGTCAGGCAGGAAGCTCAAAATGAGGCAGCTCATTCTTGTCTCTGCCCATTCTCTGCTCCGCCACATTTGGCCTCAAAAGACGGAGCCCATAATCCATGATTTGATTTGCTGCGCGCCTCGCTTCCCTCTCGTTTTGCAGCGATCTGGGCGGATGCTAGCGAGCCTCCAACTAACTATAAAGAGCTCGCCGAGTGACTCCATAAGCCTCACGGCTCTACCCCTGCCAGAGCAACTCACCTTCCAATTCACCTTCATCCAACACAACTTTCTCTTGACATCGCCAACAACTGAATTGCTCTTGGATATTCTCATTATTGCATTACCGTCTAGACAGCTCTTTTCTTCAAGTGACTGATCCCCTTTCTGATATCGAGAGCCTCATTGCTCAGCAGGCATCTCCGCTGTTCATCATTCTAAAATGGATTGGACGACAAGCCCATGTCCAGTGTGTCCTCCAAAGCGGAAGAAACCCCCCGATCGTGATGGGACTTTCTGCAACTTTGAAGATACCGCCCACCGCAAACCTCAATACAACGATGCCAACGTGTCCTCCGACTGGACGTGCACTGAAGGGCATCAATCGCTATCTCAAGCTTCCCTGCGCTCAGGTGCATGTCTTCCACACCCGCACACCTTCCCGCCAAGTCCCAACCACAAAATCCTCGTGACAATCGGAACGGGATATGGCCGCAAGAGCTTCTTCGTGAGGACAATGCTATCTGAAGAACCTACATCTCTCCTCGGACATGGCCAGGAGAGTCGGCCCAGGGAATACTCTACTCAATCCAATGGATGCGATTTCAGCAACTATGGATATGAAGGCTCGTCTCCGTCGGTCATGAAGACCTACGAGACGCCGCACTCTTCTTTTCGTGACGAAGTCAAAGCCTTTGACGGGCTGCCAAGCAACGATGCTTGTTACCGAGATCAACTTTCTGACTACCTCGTTCATCGATTCGAAAAGGTCATCCGAGGAGACTATGGACAAGCCCCATATCCCACTGGAATTCCCACTGGAATGAAACCATCGTGGGATAAGCTTTCGAGGCTATACATCGCAAGCCATTTCAAGGAAGCCAGAGAGCAAAAGGCTCAGGATCTGGACGGGGACCTCAACACTACGACCGACAAGAAGACGATGCTTCAAGAGAAACTTGCAATGATCTCACTGTTCCTGCAAAGGATGGCCACATCCACCGGCACGGGACTCGTTGCGAGTACCATGTCGAGTATCGCAGCTATACAGCCGACCCTTGCCCTTGTCTGGCACACATTGATATCGCCAGCGCTCACCAGATCAGCAAGCTCAGCACTACCACCCAGAATTCTCCGAAGATTTCTGGACTGCGGCATCGCAGGCTCAAAGTGCATGAACAGTCTCCTCGAAGATCCAGGTTAAATTTGACTCTCTTCGAGGCTTGACGCGCCCCCCATCTCCGCCATCGCATGCGGTGGCAACTGTATACAACTGCAGCAACCGAACACAATCACACTCACCAGCTTTCCGCCGGCCTTGCTCGGCCCCCAAAACTCTCAACACACCAGCGATTTCAGGTCGTTCACGACCTAACCAACAAAATGACACCACACTATGGAGGTCCATGTGGCCATTGTGGAGGAACGGGGCTCGACGCTGCTCCTGATCCGTTTACTTCCACCCCTGAGAGAGATACGTATCTGCTCGACGAAGGGGTGTTATCATTCCCCCCGACCCAATCACCACTTACCCTAGATCTAGGTCTCCTAGAGGTCTACAATGCTCCGTTAATACCGAATCTCGGCTACGACCTATCCCTCCAAGACCTCTCACCAGGCTTCTACGGAGACGTGGCGTCAATGGCCGCGCCTTCCGAGTCGGACGTCTCGTTTACGGCTCACTTCCACGATATGCAGGCTCCCTTAAACCCTCGGGGGCAATTTTTCACATCTTCTGACTTCGTCCTACCGGATGACTTCTCAGCTCAATACCTCGCCGTGCCTGAGCTCGACCTGCCCTCCGATCTCGACACAGCCTGGGGCTCATCCCCTGAGGAGTTCCTGAGCCCCCACGAACCAACAGCTAGCTCGCCCAGCGCAGGCCCTTCAGACCAGACATGCCGCTTCAAGTGCGCCTTTTGCTCGGCTAGCTTCCAGACCAAGCCGAAGCTCAAGTAAGTCGAGATTCTAAGCCTTCTGAGACCTGATTAATGGCCTTGCTAACATGTGTTCTTCCCACCACAGCGTCCACGTCAAGAAACACACCAAGCCGCACAAGTGCCCCGTCGCAGGGTGCGGCTACGAGGCGGCCGAGAAGAAGAGCCTAGAGCGGCACATCATCAGCCGCGCCAAGTGGGACGCCGACCACGCGGGCGTCGGGCTCCAGGGGCTCCAGTACAGCTGCCGGGTCGACGCCGCGTGCACCTACTCCAGCAGCCGGGAGGACAACCGCAACCGGCACGAGAAACGATGTCCGCGACGGGCGGTGGGGCGGTAGTAGAAAGGTAGGGTACGGGGTCTTTCTCCTTGTCTTCATTTACCATCTGGAACCAGCGTTTTATTCATTACTACGAGGTGCGTGTGAAAAGGCTACTGTTTGCGATGATTTCGTTGCTTGAGCGTAAGGATAGAGTTGTTGCTCGTGACTTTTGTTTAAGAAATAAATCACTCAATTAAAATACTACTACTCACCGATGCTTATGTGCAAAAACTGTTGCTGTAGAGCTTACAAACGAGGTACTCCTTCTTGAACGCACGCTGAATAATTGGAATGAGCACGGTCTACGGTCCATGGTAGAAATGGATTGAGCTATCAAAGCTGCCTTAGTAACGAAATACAAGCCAGAATCGAGAATGATAGTGGTCAAAGAAAGGAATGAGAAGCAATGACCCTGACAATATTGGAGAAGATAATCAGAGACCACCAGATCGGATTCATCTGTCAATCTGACCCTCCTCGCCCCCTCGTGGTAACCATGCAATTAACACTCTGACCGAAAGGATTTCATTCAACGTATCGTGTGTGCTCCCCCTCTACGTGAGGAGTCTTCGGAGTTTGCCTATTCATCGTAACATGTTTGTTCCCACCTCAATGTCCCAGAAAACAGCCATGAAACTACAACACATGAATTCGAAGCCAAGAAAACAGTATAGCCCAAGTCAAAACGGAGATGAAAGATTGGCTAGGACAGAAGCCCAAATTCTACAACAAGAGCTCACTTCGCCTTCTCTGTCTCATATGTGTGGCAATCAATCATACAGTGACTGGGCATCATCGTCGAAGTCGTCTCCAAGTCCCGAGTCAGTCGCCTTGTCCTGTTTCTTGTTCTCGGCCGATTTTCCCTCTTCGACAGCAAGTTCCGAGACATCTGCGTCGCTTCTTGCGACATTGCGGCTTGCTTTGCACGCTGCACAAGGTATTGACGGGATGGGGCCAGTCCAGCTTGGAGGTGGTGGTCGGTTGCAGGTGCAATTAGGGGGAATACTGCGCTCTGAAGCTGTGGCGGTGAACGTGGGTGTGGTTAGGTTGCTCGGCATTGGCGGCGGTGGAGGTGCAGGGAAATACTGCGGAGACAAGGGCATCGGCAGGGGGGGAGAAGGCGGAAAATCCGGCCTCATACCTGCCATGGGAGGAGGAGGATGCATAACGATCGGACCGTAAGTCGGATAAGCTGGACGAGATGAGATCGGGACGAAGGGAACAGGTGCAGGGGGTGCAGGGGAGTTCCAAGTAGCGACCGGTGGATAAGTCAGGTTCTGCGAATACGGGTATGGACGAGGAGGAATGCCTGCCTGAGGAGGCATGGCCACCGGTGGGGGAGGAGGAGGTTGTGCTGGTCCGCAAGAAGTGGTGAAGTAAGGCCCAAGGCTAGGGCCGAACGGCACGGCAGGATGAGGGGGGTATGACGGATAGCGAGGCAACGGGGGAGCCGGCGGCGGAATGTACGGGCGTGGAGCACGGGCATAGGGCATCACACCGGGCGGCGGAGGCGGAGGCGGAGGCGGAGTGATGCTTCTAGCTCGAGCACGGCGATATAGCGGAGGTGGAGATGCCCTGCGGCGCGATCTTGTGCGGCGCCGGCCGCCCAGCTTGTCGAACTCAAAGTTCTTTGCGTCCCTAGCGCGTTCTCTGGCTCGTTGCTCTTGCCTGTCGACTCTATTCCATGGATTGCCGAATCTTGTGTGGGTGAAGTGGCCCTTGTCGTTCTTCGGGAAGATGGTCTCTTCGCCGCGGATGACAATTAGGAACTCGGTGGGCTGTTTCTTGTCCTTGTTCTTCCAGAACCGCAGCTTGTGCCTCTTGAGCTCCTCGGGATCGGCGGCATTGAAACGATAATGGAGTTGCTCGCGCATCATGACGACACTCCATCCACGAGCATGATAGCGATTGCTAGTGTTACCTCTGCGGTCGACCAGGAGACTGTTGATCTCGCTCTGAACTTCTTTGGGAAGCTTCCGCAGACGATCGTCCAAGTCCTGCTCATAGGATTTGGCTCGTCCGCGGATGAGACGAGAGGGCAACGATCGCTTGTTTGCGGTCTGGTAGCGATCAAGGGCGGAGAGATGCCAGCCGCTGAGCTCGGATTGAGGACGTGCAACAGGACGCGTATTAATATGGCCATACAACTGGTCGTAGTGCTGGAAGACATTGACACCACAGATCTTGGTCCCAGTGACGACCTCCTTGTTGTCAGGCGAGCAGTACACAATCCATGCCTCGTAGACAGGCTGGTTCACACCCTGTTCCTTGGGCACACGACTGCGAGAAGTAAGCATTTGGAAATTCAAACTGGAAACATTGTACAAACTATGACGGCAGCGTGCGGTCGAAAATGATCGAATCATACGAAGACACGGACGAGGTATCAGAGAGGCTGTGGGTGTCCTCATCGTCGCCGGACAAGGTCCAGTCATCAGAATACTCCGTCTGATAATCGAAACTGGCTAAAGTTTCCTGATCATCAGGTACGCGGCGGGCCTCACGCGAGACCTTTATATCGTCGTAGACCATGGTGGGCAACAGGAAGTCACACAATCAAGTAAGTGCCAATCGATAGAATCACAGATTGCAGCGAGGAACGGGGGAGACGCCGGCAGGAGACGAGCACAGATGAGACCGACGAGCGATCCTAGAAAAGAGAGAAAGAAAAGACGCGGGGAAGCTGGGGGCGAAAGAAACAGCGCGTTTCTTAAGTATTATTGTGAATGGACGGTTGGATGGTATGGGACGAAACAAAGCCTCACTTGCATTAGAATAATAAGGCTCAGTGGTATAGGTCGACCAAGCTGCCTGGACTGCACAGTACCTCAATCAACTTAGTCGATAAGCAGCCTGCGATGTTCCTCCGGCAGAGCTGTTCTTCTTCTTCTTCCTCTTCCATCGAGCTACCAGGACCCTCCCTCCCAGAACTGCATTAGTTCTCGTACCTACTGCAGCCCCAGACTCTTTCTTGTTACTTCGTAGACTGCCTTATTGCTTAGGGGCCGGCATCTCATCGGGAGCTGGCCAACGAGATTCAAGGATTGGGCAGCCTTGTGGCACGCGCACCCGTCATTGAATAGGTGGAGTCTCTGCTTGTGCTTGCTCGTCGTGTCGGTCGGGAGAGGGACGGGGCTTTGCTGCCTGGAAACTGAGACGAGACGTACGTGCGAGGGCGGCACATCGCACTGCTTCGCTTCGCTCCACCGCCCGTCAGCCAGCCCAGCCCAGCCCAGCCCGTCAGCACCATTCTGCTAGCATCGTTGCTAGACTACCACTAGCAGCCCACCGGATCAGAGATCAGAAGAAAGCCAAAGTCACGCCAGGAGCCGGGCTTGCTGGTTCCCCTGTTGCAAGTCTGCTGCTCAGAATGGCGAACACTTGCAGGAGGACTGCAGGGCGCTAGAGCAGCCATCGAATCCTCTCATTGGGGGTGCTGCCTGCAGCTGCCGAGACACAGCATGCTCAACGAGTAAGAGAGAGCGGATCTGAGGCGGTGCGCGTCGGTGCGGCCCAGGCGCAGCAAGTCGCAGTGTCGAGTGTGTGTATGGTTGTGTGCATGGTGAATGAATGAATGGGTGAGGGAGATCTCCTGCCAGGAGAGAGGCTAAAGTGCCCCAACCAGACTGGCTGACTGAGGCGGAGTGTGAAGCTGCTGGTTGGCTGTGACGGCTGCCTACGCTGCTGAGGTAATGAAACCAAGATGGGAAGGGACGGCCCTGCAAGTGTACTAGCAGTAGTGCTTTCCTGCCCTGTGGCCCCACGCTAGACGCTAAACTGCCGTAAATTCCAAGCTGCTTTCTTAGCGCATAGAATTCCAACAAGATGAAGGGAAAGAGCGGTCCTGTTGGAAGGGCGGAGGACGCCAATTCCGAGTGAGGCTCAACTCGCAGTCCTCGAACCCAATTCCCTCACCCTTGAATCGCCTCCTGATTTCAGTACTTCATTATTTGATTGGCAGTCCAGCTATTGACGAGTCAATAATCTTAGGTCCCTCTCTCCGGAGCCGGGCAAAATGACACGCTCTATTAGGGGTCTAGATATCATGATTTGCAACGATGCCAGCGCATCTCCGCGATAGACCGAGAGAGCCTCATGCCACTTCCGCCAATGGCCCAATGGCCTCATGAGCCAGACTGCAGTAATTCTTTACGAACTGCAGACTGTAACCGTCACATGAGTTGCTCGGTACATCGTGTTGACGCGGCTGAAAGGCTCCATGCTGTCAATATGTCGGTGGTAGGGCTAGAAAAAGGCGAACATACGATATGTAGCAATGAGATTTTCAAGCTACTTCGCATTATGCACTCTTATAGGCTTAGCAAGATGGCAAGATAGATTATAGGTCATTGTCCTCCGTCATGGTAATAAATGTTGATTACTTAATAGGAAAGGTCTTGAAAGGTGAAAGTCATGATGCTTGTGTGAGCCTCAGTACTGTTTACATCTTAGCCCCACCAATTTCCATCATGGTGGGAATGTGGAAGTATTGAACTCTTTACCGAACTGCCACTCTTGAATCATGGCAGAGGAGAGGAGTAGACCATGCTCTAAAACCTGGAAAGATTCTTACGTTGTGGAGTCCATCGTCTCTTCAAACAATCCCAACTTACAAAGCCCTGCTTCATCTACATTCAAACCTCAACATGCATGATCCGGAAACACGGCGCTGGAACAAGACCGACGCTCGTCTGTATACCTTGCCGGGCCCAAGAAGGCCTTGATAAGCCCGGACAAACCTCCACGGCACACCGAATGCCAAGCTTTTTCTGCCACGATCTGACGTTGGACCCTCTGGCTCCCCTGATAACAACTATTTTTGATGATGACGCCGTCATCGCGGAGCTCCATTCGCCGTCTCGTATATTGTTCGTCTAGATGCGAGGCGAAAGGTTTCGAGTGCTAAACAGCGCTTTTGAACTTTGTAATGACGACATGGGACAGTGGTTCATATTCACGTATCATATATGAATCGTATCTAGCCCAAGTCCTAGTGATGAAAGCGATTCATACTGTCTTACTCAATCTACCTATGAACCTAACGTAAAAAGCCGTCATTGCCATGTTCGTCTTACGAAAGAGCAAACTCCTACCCCTTGCTGGGCTCATCTCCGCTCTCCCCCTCGTAGAATGCTACTCCCTCGCCGACGGCGGCGAGATCATCGCCGGCAACGTAGCAGCCAGCGACGGCCCCTATGACATCCCCCGTGACACCTTCCGGGATCTCACCTCTCGTCCCAACGCCACGAGCTCTATCGACTTCTCCATGGGCCTGACCGGCCCGAACTCGACCACGTCCAGATGGACGCTCGACATCGGCGTGACGGCCGACATGCCCGTCGACGAGAAGGTCAGCCAGGTGACAATCCTGTCCCTCACGGGCCCGGAAGGATCTGTAAATGCATTAAACGACACATGGAGTCTCTGCGCGGCTGTCTTTGGGGGCGTCTCCGCCAACGCAACGGCTGCTGCCCAGAACGCGGATCTGAACGGCGACTGCCGGCCGACCCTCTCAGACAACTGTCGTAACGAGCTGACGAGCGCCATGCTCGATGAGTACGCCTTATCAGGAGACTGCGGGATTCCCACTCTGCCGAGCACGTGCAAGGCGTATTTCCCTGAAAGCTTCCGTGCGATGGGGTTTGGTGTGTTCCCTCGAACTCTTCCCAGCAAGATACAGCTGCTCACAGACATTACCTAGGTCTCACCCCCGAAATCCTAAGCAATCACGAGTTCCTCGCCTTTGGGTCGGCGCCCCAGACGGTGGGCAATCACACGGCGTATGATATGGCCGGGACAAATGTCTGGCCAGTCTTGCTCACCTGGAACGAGGCTGGATCAACCACAAACTCCAGCATTCTCCGACGTATTCATGCAACTGACCTGAGCGAAGGGAGTGACGCGCCTGGCGTCCCAGATGCCGCTGCGAGAAATCTTTCACTCCCGGCAGCATGGATGATAGTTCTCATCGTCTCATGGACCTTCATGTATTAACCAACGCAGCGTTTTGGGTGCAAAAGAAGAACAGAGTGTCATATTACATTAGTCTACTTGTACAATCGCAATTATCTCCTGCTGTGCAGCAAGCCATGGAATTATCCTTCAATTAGCCATCGATCTCCATCAAGCTTGAGTCATCATTGTCGATCAAGATTGGCGCATCAGCGGTACCCAATTGCAAAGCTGAGCCAGTCGTGGTGACATCAATCCCTTCCCCATCAACAACATCGTCTTCGTCCCCTACTTCCTTAACACGGGAGCCAAGGTCCGCCCGGAAATCCTGTTCCATCAAGATTTCGCCAGCGAGCAAACGGCCAATGTGGCTTCTCGAAATGCTCTGGCGGTCCCGGCGAATGCCGCTTATAAATGCTTTGAGGAACTCATTTGGACTTCTGGAGAAGCGACACACTTGATAACCTCGCCGCCCTACAAATCCGTCTGGGGATGCGCCTGTGGAAGCATCGTTTGCAACAAATGACAGTCCAAGAAATGTGCACAACTCCGCATACTCTCTGAGTGATCTCATATAGACTTGTCCAGCAAACAGATTCAACTGCAAAACTAGCAGACGCGACATTTCCCAGCCGGTAGGAAGTTCTGGTGTTGTATACAGTACAAGGTCCTCCAGAGACGGAACGGTGAGGTTTGTTCGCGGTGCATATAAGTGAATGGTAATGCAACCTTTGCGTACTTCTTTCTCTAGGAGGTAATTGGCTTCGAAGGGGCTGATGATGATTATGTGCTGTGGTTGGCGGATCGATGAAGTCGCTGCACTGGTGAGAATCCACTGGACAGGTCTTTGAAAAAAATCTGCAGATGAGTGCTTTTCTAGACAGATAGTTGTTGCAAAGTCTTCGGTCACTAGCAAATCCACACCAAATTCCTTGAGTTTTACGAGTTTCGCACATGATGTCTGAGAAAGAGATGCGAAAGCGGACAGAAAGCCTCTTGGTTCCTTCTCGAGTCGACCTGTACGAGCGAATTGGCGCAAAGCGTCCGAAATCTGGTGTTTGGCCGGAACAGCAGGTGGTGCCTTTTCCACCTGTCTTTCCTGCTCGATTTCAGGCGCCAGTTCCCGTTCCTGCTCTTCCTCAAGCCCTGCACCCTTCAGTGTAGACATGTCGAAACTGTCACATCTTGCAGCTATCTGTTCGATCTCTCGTTGTCGCAGCGCAAGCCCTCGATCATGTAATTCATCTGATATCGAACCCGGCGATTTGAGTGGACCTGGAAGGTATCTTGCCTCTAACGTGAGAGCCTCATCCTCGAGGTAGCGCTCAAAGTCTTCTCTGGTCGCAAAGTTATTTCCGGATCGGGATACCGCTTTGTTCCATACAATCTCCTGCCTTTGATGTCGAACACCCTGGACAGCCCACAGTCGAATGGAATGAGCAGTATCCAACCAGGTTTCGGAGATGGCCCAGGCGAGGACGTCGGCAACCGCGATCGTAACTTCAGGTAATAACCGACGGAACTTTCGGATTTTGTCTTTCACCTCGAAAGGGATGTAGAAAATGATAGACTGGCCTTTGCCTAACTTACGCATTCTCATACAAGCTACGAAAAAGTTAGAAAACTCATAGCAGCGGAGTTCTTTGAGTTGCAACTCACCTTGAACTAGTCTGTCTTTCGTTAGATTAGGTCCTAGGGTCGTGGCCGCTACATAGTGATCCGGAAGCCTCAGGTCTGTTCCACGAGTATGTGCTTCATCTAGAAACACCAAACAGGAGTCCATCCGTCTTGAAAATGGCGACGTTGCTAGTCGCTCCACCCTGCCTGCTCGATTGACAACACACAACTCGTCATCTTTATCAAAATAGACAACGGCTTGCATATCGGTAAGAGGTGTCAGTTGAAGCCAGCGTCGTGAAAACTGCTCGTTGTCTAGCTCAAGCACAAGTGCGCCGACATCTAGAATGACTTGGCACAGCTTTCCAGGTTCCGAGACTGCTTTGATCAAGCAATCCGTCGATATCTGTGATGAGTCATTTGCGGCCACAAGCTCCCGAACACCATTTTCTGGTCTGAGAAGGCAACTTAGTACATATGCATTTGTATGGCTCTGTTTGGGTAGGTCAAGATGGTCAATATTCAGAGGTAGGAGGTACTTGGAGTCACAAGTCCCACTGAAGCCAGTTGTGGGATTCTGCTTCGAAATGGCCAGGTCCCAGCCAGATGCGGACAATTTGCTCGGAAACTCTCGCATCTCTTTCGGGAAGACAACTTTGGAGAGGTAATAATCGACAACAGCCTTGGTGAAGCGTAGCCATGGAAAGATCTTGGTCCTACATTGCTCGGTGTCTCTCATGTTGATTCCCGAGATGTGTCGGAATGCAGGTGGGATGCCGGGAGAGCACGACACCCAATTATGGTAATCCACTTCCGTTTGATCGGATTTAAAGAGAGTTTCAAAGGTAAGAAACATCTCTTTGTCCGTTAAGCCTGCATAGTAATACGTGAGACACGTGAGTATGATCACAACATCTGGATGGCTAAATTCAGATCGTGGGGCAGGCGAGTCCTTCGCCCGAAAAGGCACGGCTAGAAGTGTAGGTTGTTCGTGAGAACGGCCATAATTCACTCGCCATCGCTTCTTCTCGAAAGCAAAAGACATGATGCCCCCAGCGAATAAACCCCGCAGCAGGAGGATTGCTTGTTTGATAGATCCGGTGAAGAGTCCTGATCCGTCCTCCACTGCTGCAATATCTCCAGGAGTTAGTTGCAATCGAGTGATGTATTTAAGCAGGCTTTGGCGGATAGCTGCACTCTGGCGGGAGATGGGAAGTCCAGCAAGACCATCCTCACAAACAATCCTTGCACATTCATCCAACAGGTGATCACCGCCCTCCTTCTTCAGAATGCGAGTTCGAGGAAAGCCACCTACATGCTTTGCTTCGATCAGCAAAGAACCCGGAACGGCCTCACTGACATTCGGCCCGATTCGCGAGACAAGATCCAGAACCTGTTGAATTACCAGCCATCGATCAGGGCTCGCTTCTGTAGGCCTTTGTGTGCCCATCGTGTATATCAGCTCGAATTTCACGCTGAAGTTCTCATCACTTTCATCCACGATGTCCCTAGAGACAGCATTGCAATAGCGCTGTAACTCCAATAACTTACGGCCGATGATCAGCCCTGGGATTGTCTGTCCAGTAACATCATCGGAACTCTGAGGAGCAGCCGTATAGACGCGTTGTATGCCCATCAGCTTGAAGGAGAGGAGGTGCTCAGGTTGGCATAACAAAATCCCTCCGGATTCAATACAAGATTGAAGCATTTCTAGGACGATCTTGACATCCCGTAGCTTCAATTTCAGTGACCGAGAAAATGGCATGTAGAAAACCCGTCTGTCGAGAAGACCACCGAGCTTGGTCACAAGCATCTCGTGCATTTGCTTCGACTGAGGTTTGGCAACAAGAATGCGAACAAGTCGTTTACCGTTCGCGAGATGTGCTGCAACAATCTCCACAATGACGGATGATTTGCCTTCTCCCATGTTCAGCTGCATGACAGCATTTTTCTTCTCTGGCGGGCCCCTCATCGCGGATGCTACCTCCTCTTGAACATCTCGGATAATCAGTCCACTTTCAACCTCGAGCAGTAGAGATTCGGGAAACTTCATGGGATCCCAACTGTGCCCGACATTCAAAATTTCTCTTGCCCGATCCCTCGGGTTTCCCACAGCTGCCGCTAAACGCTCAGCCCTTTGATAATAAGTCAAGGCCAGCGCATACTTCACGACACAGTCTTTCCAGTCTGTTCTCAAGGTTGGCCAGTTGTGTCGATTGAGCAGCTGTAAGACTGTCACAGGGCTGATTCTAAGGCCTGCGGTGCCAGAGAATACCGCTTGAAGGTAGCCGGGGCCGCGCCTCAAATGGTTCTCAATTGTTAGGTAGATCCTTTCGACTTGTGCCCTTGTAGTTTTGAGATCATTGAGGATGGCAGCGTGTAGATTATCGAGATTGTGAATCTGGATTGTCGAGTCATTGTGAACTTGATTTTGGAGACTGTCAATGCTGCGCCCAAGCTCTTCCAGGTAACGGCGTTCAAAAGCCGGCTGGTGTGGCTTTTTCATATCGTCGAGGATCTGCATCAACTCCGAGCACTGCTGATTTGGGGTGGTTATTACTTCGAAATGGTTTGCAAACGTGCAAGCAGGCAAGAGAGAGATTAGCGGAGATGGTGTCAGTAACCGATCTGCAAGGCGGACTTGGCCATTTTGGCTCTTATGTGAAGAGCAAAACGGACTTCCAGCAAGGCTGATCCGGATCGCTGCGGGCGTTGCGCACGTAAATTTTGAAACAGCCGTTTGTAAAAACAACTTGAAGAGGATGTTGTGGTCCCATTCTTGAAAGAGTTCGTGGACCTTACCCAGTACTTGGCCAACATCGAAAATTTCCGAGAAGTCTGGATCTGGGGAAATTGTAACCAGACAAGATGGCCACTGAGATGCTAGAGCTCCAGCAAAGCGATTTGCAGCATGTCGTACCCTGATTGCCCATTGGTTCATGGACTTTCTCTTTTGCTTCGTCCCGCCGACAACAGGATGAGCCGGCTTCTGTTGTTGCATCACAACATCTTGTATCTGATTCCGATCCAAGCCAAAGCCTTTCGACAGATCGAAACGTTTTGTGCAATCAGGCACAGTCACTCCCTGCATGGCAGGAGTCATGACAAGACCAACTAGAAAATGAATAATCT